TGCCGTCCTTTGGAGTTTGATCAAGAACACTAGATTGAGAGTCAGCGATGGACCTCAGCCTGTCATGTGGCCTGGGCAGACCCAGGGAACTCTCTGTCTTGGTTAGTCAAGGACCAAGAGTAGATAGAGCCCTTGTCCTGCTGTGGGGAGGATGGTCCTGGATTAACAGCATGTCTAGGTGCAGGTCTTCCATCTAGAATGCCGTACAGCCCCTCTGTCTGATAGAGTAAAAAGAGGGACCCAAGACCAAGGGCAGCTCAGGGTCACACAGCAAGGAGGAATAAGCTCAGGTCTGTCTGACCCCAGCGCCTGCCCCTTGCCAGGGACCACAGCATCCCAGACAGAAACTGGCCATGGGTATAGCTCAGGATCTCAGGGCCCTTTGGCCTTTCCCTCAGTGGTAGCTCCGGCTGCCAGCCATCTCCAAAAGGCCTCTGTAGGTCAAAACAGCAGCTGTTTTGCATGACCATCTGGTGACTTTGGCCTCTTGGATGTGCCCTGGGCCAGTCCAGCCAGCAAGCGTCACTACAGAGAGACAGGAGCTCTGCAGTCATAGCTGGACAGATGGGCCAGCCTCAGGAGGACCAGCCACCTCTGCTGTCCCGTGCTGTGCCCTTATAGGTGGTCCCAGGTTCCCCAGGTGTAAAATGGGCACAGTGGCTGATTGAAAGGAGTCCACCATGCTAAGACCGAGGGACACGTGCAGTGGCTTGGGAGGGTACAATGGGGACATGGTCATGATGCCCACTGGTCTTCCCTGGAGCAAGCAACCGGGTGCAGCACCTTGAGCCCAGAGCTAACAGCAGGGGCGGTGTTGTGTCGCCAGGCCCTGGACACATGGTCTCTGGGCCCTGCCATACCTCATGGGTGGATTTGCGTTTCTCCTCACATAGCTCCGGTCTGCGGGTGGAAATCTTGGTTACCTGGGACAAGAGAGGAAGGAAAGGGAAACTTTTTCCTCCTGGCACAGCATAAGACTCACTGAACTCAAAGCCATGCTGCATCTGATGACAATGGGGTTTTCAAGCCAGGACCATCAGGCAAAGAGAGGCGTTGCCATTTCTGTGTGGGAATCACCTGTGAAGGTTCCCATATACTTTTATAGAGTCTTTGCAGCAACCGCGGGCAGCCAGCACCTCCAAGGGGGTGCTTGGGAGCAGGGCCAAGCTGCGGCTGCTAAGGTGGATGAGCTGGCCTGTTGGTGCCTCTTGGCTTGCTGGCATAACCCAGGCCAACTGTGGAACCGGTCCCTGTGGCTCAGGCACATACAGGAGGCCTGCGCCGACGACTCACCTCCTTCTCTGATGCCCCCAGGTAGAAGGCGTCGTCCCCACAGAAACCTCAGCAGTCACACAGAGGTGGGCAGAGGAGGGGACCCGAGCACAAGGTCCTGAGAGGCACGAGTCTGACATGTTGCTGTGATGAGACCCATAACACACGCAGCTAAGGAAGGAACGATTTGATCTAGCTCACAGTTGGGGGCTACAATCCGCCATGGTGGGGACATCATGATTGCAGAATCTTGAGTTAGCTTGTCACATTGTGTCCCTAAACGAGAAGCAGAGGGATGAGTGCCACTGTTAGCTCTGTCTTTTCATCCAGTCCGGCAGTTAGCATAGATCAGCTCAGCTAACCTAATCCAGATGATCCCTCACAGGCATGTCTGGAGGCTCGACTCCTTGCTGATTCTCGACCCTATCAATACTGCATTTAGAATCAATCGTAACCATTGCAGAGGCCTTTGAACAGGCAATTCTGGTGCCTCCAAGGGCCACCGAGAATCAACAGTGCGTGTCCACATTAATTCTCTCCCCTGCTGCCTATTACCTGTCCCTGCCCTTCACCCTTGCCCCTAGGGGCACTTCCCCCACCCAAAAAAAAAAAATCTTTCTTTAATACCTCCTTCAGGAGAACCTAGACCAAGACTTGTCATGGGGGGAATGATGACCTCAAATAGACAGGCTGAAGTCCTAACCCCCAGTATTCGGTCTGTGACTTCAACAAGACTTGCCTATAATCCCAGAAAGGAGGGAGGGACAAAAAGATCAACAGTCTAAGGTCATCCTAGCTACTTAGTGAGTTTGAGGCCAGCCTGGGCTACATGAGATCCTGTCTTAAAACAATCAAACACACAAAAAAAGTGGCTGTGTTTGGAGATCAGGTATGTGGTCTGAACGGTGCCCTCCGACGGCCTCCCTGTTAAATGACAGTCTCTGCTATGGATGGTATTAAGAAGTGCCTGGCGGGGCTGGAAAGATGGCTGCTGCTGTTCCTCCCGGAGACCAGAGTTTGGTTCCTCCCACCCATATCCCGGGGCTCACAACCACCCTTAGCTCTAGCTCCAGGAGATCCAGTGGCTGTACTCACACACACATATCCTTCTCCCTACATACATACACATATTTCAAAACTTTAAAAAAATTGGGGGAGGTGGGCTCAGCAGTTCAGGGCACTGGCTGCTCTTGTGTAGGACCCAGGCTCAGTTCTCAGCACCAACATGGAGGCTCACAGTCTAAAACCTGTAACTCCAGTTCCAAGGGATCCAACATTCTCTTCTGGCCTGGATGGACACCATATGCACACAATCCACATACATCATGAGGCAAAACACTCTCTCGTGGTTTTTTTTTTGTTGTTGTTGTTGTTGTTTTGTTTTTTGTTTTTGTTTTTGTTTTTCGATACAGGGTTTCTCTGCGTAGCTTTGCGCCTTTCCTGGAACTTACTTGGTAGCCC